TTGAGAAGCACTAACACAAGAACACAAGTTCTTTGTTTTAAAAAACTTCTCTATGTGAAGTCCACTCTGACTGTTAGCAACAAATCTCATGAACCACTGGCAAAAATAATTAAATTTTAGGCATAATCAGGGGTACAGCCTATGTGCTCGTCATTAGTGTTGGATCGACTGAGGTGGTGTTATACCCCCGCACAGTTGTGGGCACAATGAATGTTGTCAATGTTGTTGGTCTCCCTTCAGAGATTGCTGAGGATTCAGCTTTGTTTAGACCTTGGAATTGATAATATTAGTTTTGAACTTTGAATCGGCCATTGTCGGGTCGATGATCCAAGAAGGGGGTGTAGACTGCAGCATTATAGAAATATACCTGGCTAGAGAAACATCATATCCTGTTAAATAAGTGGGTGGAGTATAAAAGGAGGCGGTAATGCTTGTTCTGGCACTTGTTTTCCTCTTCATGCTCCCACTACGTGGCTCATAACCTGTGTGGGGTTTGGTTGTAGCTGAGCAGCAGATCGTGTTATGCGTGCTGTTCTGGACTTTGTGGGGTGAAGGCCAAGCTTGCTGCTTTCCTCCTTCTCCCATGTGTGTGAGTCTGCATGTGTGTGTTAGCTGGTCCTTTGCTGAAGTTGGGACCACTGCTGTTTTGTCTCTACGGAAGATCACTGCTGTTTTATCACCACTGAGGTTACAACTGTTTGTTTCTATGGAAGATTACCATTGCTCTGTCTCTACGGAAGACTACTGCTGTTTGGGTTCTCCAGATTATTACACTTAATTGTCTCCAGACGCCTGTGGCTGCTTCACTGGACTTCTCCACAACTAACTGTTTGGGACATGGTCCCTGAGCACTCATGTCAGCCGCGTGGGTAATAATTAGCCACACACCTGGGTCTGGACTATCTAACCATCCATTATCTTCTGCTTATTCCGAAGTCGGGCCGCGGGGGCAGCAGCTTGAGCAGGGCGGTCCAGACATCTCTTTCCACAGCCACCTCTTTCAGCCCTTCTGGGAGGATTCCAATGCGTTCCCAGGCCAACCGAGAGTCATAGTCTCTCCAGCATGTCCTGGGTCTTTCCCAGGTTCTCCTCCCAGTTGGACATGCCCAAAACACCTCTCTAGG